CTACCATCAGCTGAAGGTGTATAGATTCTGAAAGACTCTGTGTTATCCAAAGCCATAATGATCCTGATGCCCAATGGCCTGAAGTGGAAAGCTGCATACCGAGTAGGAGATGCCATGGCTGAGATCTGTTCACAGAGAGTGTTGATCTACTGTGACTTGTGTGATGTCACCAAAAGCTTGAAAAGTCAAACAATTTCATTCAAATACATTATAGTGGTTGAAGTTGGTTAATGTTTGTCAATGGTTAAAAACTGTAAAATTATAATGACCAGCAAATGCACACACTTACACATTTATTTCAAAATTTAGTTAAAACAGCTTTAGATACCTTAAATCTTAAATTATATATATAAATTAAATTCTAAAATATTTTTGATTTCAATTTCTAATTATAAATTGAAATTAATACATTTTAAATTTCAATTTATAATTATAAATTGAAACTAAAACATTTTTGATTTCAATTTATAATTATAAATTGAAATTAAGACACTTTAAATTTCAATTTATACATTTTAAATTTCAATTTATAATTATAAATTGAAATTAAAAAATCTTAAATTTCAATTTATAATCATAAATTCAAAAAATACATTTGTATTAAATATAATAGCTATATTTTCAAAAATATACAAAAATATTGTTTAAAATACTAAATGTGTAGCCAACAACAAAGGCTTATACAAATGACATACATAGTTAAATTTGTAGCCAACCAAAGCTTACTTCCAGAAAAGCAAACAACCAAGAGCAAGAAGATATGACATCTTTTCCTCAGCACAGATTGCAAACTCAAATCAGCAGCAGTCAGCTGCACAAAGGATGTGAAAACTGAAAGTCCTTTGGCCATCCACACTCATTGATTTTCTTCTCCAAGATTTGTATCACTGGTTTCAGAGTGGGATGGCTCATGTATCGCATCATGATCCTTCTGGTCCTTGGCAAGTCTCCCTGTTTGTACGCAATGAGCAGCAGTGCCATTTTCATCAACCAGCCTTGCTGTTGACCAGGTAGAACTGGAGCCTGAAAGAGTGCAATGTGCAACAAATGTTTTACATAATTGAAATATACATAGATATTTGAACAATGATACAAAATCTAATCAATGAAATAGAAAACCTTCCCACATGAATGGCCAGTGGCAGAGTATTTGGTTGCAACTGGTCCAAAAAGCCTGTTCTTCATTGCAAGGACATCTACCTTGCACTTTTTGTCCTCATTGGCTTCAGGATCTGAAGGTTTTGCTTTTCTTTTGCGCAAAGCCTTCCATGGTGGTGCATCTCCTGAAGCTTCACCCTGAGGAAGCTTGGGTAGTGTGTCCACCACTGGTACTTCTGGTCCCAATGCTACTTCTGGTTCAAGTACTTTTGCAGTCATTGGTGGCTCAGAAGGCTGCTCACCAAGCTTTTTGTATGATTCATCTTTTGCCAAGCCAGGGCTTGTGTTCTCTGCTTCAGGTTCATGTGGAGCTGTGCCATGATCTTGTGGAAAACCAGCCTGCTCCACAATCTGGCGAAGGGCCTGCATTCAGAACAAGTGCTTGGTTTCATTGGATGAACAAAAAAACATACCCTCAAACTCATGAAAAGCTTACAGAAGCACTTCAGCCAAAGATCTTTCTCATCTTCCTTGTGGGCTGCTTCCAACATAGTCAAAAGCATTGCATCTAAATCTGTTGTCTCCATGTCTTCAAATGGGTTGTCCTCCTGCAATATCAGGGCGATTATCTGCAGCAGCTAATGAGCATCTTGTCTTGAACAATGAGATCTTTATTGAATACTTTGTTAACCAAAACAAATTGTTTATGCAATTCAATCAAATCATGTTCACTATCCAGTCCTCAGGCACTGGGTCTTCCCAGCGGTCCCATGAGTGATCTGCATTGGTGCGCAGGGCAGCATGACTTCCACATGGCTGGGGCGACAAAGACCTTTTCATTTCAACCCCATAAAGTGTGGCTGAAGCAATTGTTACAACAATAGTCAACACAAATGAAGACTGCTGAGGTTTTAGTATGGAAAGCCTTAACCACAGGTGATAACTGTTCATGACAGTACAAGAAGCTGTGGAACCATAAACACTCCATTATTTTGCAAACATTAGTTCCAATGCAAATATTGGAGCTTCTCAAAAAGCTCTCAAACAAATAGCGTGGAGCTTACAAGCAAATCTGTAGCCTTTAAGCTTCACATGATAATGAAATGAAAAACACTCAGCAAACATTCAACCAAAAAGAATCTGGTGCCTCACAGGCAAAACAATAGCATGCTTTCTTAAACAAACTCTGGAGCTTAAAAGGAAGCTTCTCAAAAATATTGGCGAAAATAATTGCAGCGCACTTTTTCACGAGCCTTTTGAAGTCTGCACACCTATTCAGTTTCTTTCAAAATTGCCAGCCTATGCCTTCCTCCGCTTCTTTGCAGGGAGCTCTGCTTTGAGCACATCTGAAGGCCTTGTCAGCCACGTATTTGGACCAATCACACCCTTGTTCTCCAGAATGGGGATGGTTGCACCCTTGTACTCAATGTAAGCCAAGCTCATGTTGGCCTCATTCTCATCCTCAGTGGTTCCCACAAGCCAAAAGGGACAAAGTACTCCAGGATCTTTGGGTTTGTCGAAGTTGGAAAAGGTCTTGAAGGGAAGGAGGTCATACTTTACCTCATTGAACTTCACACAAAAGCGCTCCTTCTCCTTTGCTGAGTCTTTGGGCTTGTTGCAAAAGCCCACAGGATAAAGCTGAAGCTCTTTCTTTTTGAATTTCTTCAAGGTCACCACCCCTGCTGGGCACATGGTGAATCCCAGCATCTCTTCATTTGGTTTTTTGGAATTCATATATGCATCTAAAAGGAAGCTGTTGACCTGCAGCCTGGAGAACTCATCCAACACAATGGTTGAAGTGTGAGGGAGCTTCAGGGCTGCCAAGGCTGCAGGGCACATAGAAGTCCCTTGCTTCTTTGTATGTTTCCAGTTCTTCAAGCTCTCATAGGATTCCTGTACTTCCTCTGGATCACCAAACAGAGGAGTATGGACAAAAGTAGCGCAATCATCCTTGAGGCTCTCCAAGCGAAAGAGTTTGTCTGAGCCATGTTCTTTATGAAAGAACCTCACAAGACACCAACAACACACCAACAGTGAAGAAAAGAGCATACAAAACCATAGCTGAAAAAGGTTGACAAAGCTGAAGACTTCCAAGGAACATCTTGCCAACCTCAATCTGGGAGTTCTGCAACTTTGCAATGTCTGCATTGGAGCAATTGATCAGATCATGTACTTTAACATCTTTTTTTTGCTCAGTGCTAGCTGCAGTGGAAGCTGAATCACCTTTGAGATCATCTTGAAATTGCTGGACCACTTCTTCAAAGGACTCAAAGGAATCCTTCTTTTGCTTCATGACTGCTAGCAAAATCATGCGCCTGCAAAAGTTCCCAAAGGCTTGGGATGCAGAAACCTGTGGTAGAAGCCCTTCGCATGCCTTCCAAGCATCACTAAGCATTGTCTCAATGTCTGAGAGCTTCTTGTGACTCTTGAGCTTCTGGAAGTCACTGGGGTAGATGAGCTTGGAAATTCCATTCATGGACTTGGGACTGGTGAGTACAGTTGCCAGAATGGCAATCCTGAGGAACATGCAGCAGGCGCTTGCAAGCTTGAAGTCAGTATGCGCAAGAAGGTTCATGCATTCTTCTCCAGCCAGCAGGCTGCGACCTTCTGCCTTGCCTCAGAGAATTGCAAGCTGAACCATGAAGCATGGGACACCATCAACAAGCATCCTGAGCCAAAAAACTCAGAAGAAAAGCATTGACCATGATTTTAGCAAAGAAACAAAATGAATCCAGCCACTTCAAAAGTGGAAAAGCATCTCCTCCAGCGTAGAGCCTGACAAACAATGCTACATCCTGGAGGTAAGCCATGCATGCAGGTGCAGATTGCTCCACAGCACTGATTGCTGCAGACATTTGCATCCCTGACTTGTAAAGGCTGCTCAACTGCATCATGCATTCAAGCTCACTTGCAGCCAGAGCATTGGTGTTCTGGGCATTCATCGACATGGATCCAAATGATGCCAGAGTTGGAAAGATCTGCTCTGCTTCAGCCTTGATTACCAACCACTGCCACCCTTCCTCCAACAAAGGCTTCAAAGAAGCTGTGACAGTCAGTTTCCTGCCTTCAGGGTTGGAAGCTCCATACTCAACAGCTCTGAGCCACTGTGTGAAATGGCTTGAAGCAATGCTCAGAAAGCGCTCAGTACCATGCAAAGGAGACAGCATATTGTCAGCTGAAGCGACCATCTTTTTGTTGGCTTCAATTTGCTGTGAGCGAACATGAGGCAGTGTGGACAGTTCCACACAGAGGCTGTTTGCAGTCAACAAATCACTTTTCACTCCAGCTTGTAAAATTGCACTGCCTTTCTGGTGGGCATCGTGATGGTTGATCATTGATGATCCTCTATTGCATGGATGCACCATGACATCCCTTGGTACAATGGTGGTGCTATACACCAGTCCATAGCCCTTCAGAATCTCCAAGATCATGTTCAACCTGGTGTTCACACCCAGAGTGCATCCTGTACTGAGAAGACCTTCGACCTTCTCTTTCACATCTGGTGGCACCGACATGGCTGGACTGGTGCCAAGTTCTTGCAAATCACCAGTAAAGTGTTTGCCTTTGCTTGGTTAACATGTTGCACTTCAAGCTATGCCTTTTGTGTTTTTGTGTGAACCCTCAGGCTGCTTCTCTCAAAAAACTGCTTTCATGTTTGTGACCTGCGCATTTCTCAACAAATTCCTTCAAGAACCTCACAGCAGGAGGATCCACAAGAAAACATCTGTCAAACACACAACAAAACAGAAAGCCCAAAAAGGCTTGTGAGCAAACAAATTCACACATTGCAGCTAAACAAGAAGCTGAAAAAGCTCAAACAAAATGTGCGCAAACAAGAGCACATGTTCCCAGCCCAAACAAGGAACAGCACTTTTTTCCATGACTCCACCAAGGCTCTTGTCTCAGGAGCTCCCAGCGCCACCAGCCTTTGCAAATTTGCCACTCTTGGTGTACTCACGCTTGGAAATGCTTCCATCTTGGCAATCTGCCTCCAAATGCCCGAAGACTGCTTGTAGCTGATCAGGTTGAAGAAGCACCATCACATCTGAGCTACTGGTTCTTTTGCCAGGAGCAAGCATTTGTACTTGTACAGCGCCAAGTTGCACCTGCAAGACATGTTCATGCTTTCTCTTTTTGCTATTCTCTTCACCCTTTTCTTCTTGAGCCTCAATCTGCTCATTCCTCAACCTCTTAAGGTCAGCCATTGCCCCTCCATTTGTCAAGGTTTTGTCACCATTTCTCCCACACACCAATTTGCACAGAGCTGGTGAGCTTCCTTGAAGCTTCAAATAAGAATTTCCATCCAAATCCTTCAGGGCAAGTTAGTGGCTTGTTTCAAAGAGTTCATGCATGGCTCATTTAGAAACACATGCGAACAAGAGTCCTTCACCAACATGTTCTTTGGGATTTCCACTTTCTTTCGACCTTTGTAGGAAAGCTCCAGTTTGTAGCCAATAGTCACATTGTTTGCTTCTGCTGCTTCTTCATCTGACATTGCATGTGCTAAAGCTACACTGACATGCTCACCAAATATGGAGCCAAACCTTTCAAAAATTGAAGCTGCCGCCACAAACAAAACCAGAAGCTGGAACAAATCCAGCTGGTGTGTGCTGAGAAACAAAAACAAAACAATTCTAATCAAAAGCCCATTTGGCTGCAACATAAACCAAAAAGGGGTGGAAAGACATGTGCAAATGCAAGTGTTGCTTTTGCTTGCTAAAAGGAAATTCATTTGAAATAGTCTTGCTTTCAAAAATAAACATAGGCCCATGGGCAAAATTCTTATCACCAGAAGGTGTTTCTATCAAAGCGAAACAACAAACCAAAGTAAGGAAAATAATGAACATAATTTGCTTCTAACTATGTTAACTTTTGAGCTAATGTGTCTAAAATTTTAAGATAGTTAAGATAATTAGCTAAAAGTTAACATAAATTACTAACTATCTTAAAAACATAACATAATTACAACAGTTATAACAATTTAGGAGATGGTTAGCACATGGTTAGGATATCATTAGTATTTAGTTAGTATTTAGCTTAACTATCTTAACACATTAGAAAAGCACAGCCCATCTCAGCAGAGCGTCGCTCGGCCACTGTCTGCGGCGCCTACAGAGCAACGTCGCGTTCGGCGAGAAAAAAAAAGAAAACGCTGTAACCAGTAGCAAGCAAGTCACACGGGGCGTCGACGGCGCAACGCGCGGAGGGCCGCGGTGGTGGGTCGGTCGTCGTGGTCGTTCCCTCGCTCTCGTTTCCGCAGACTCGCTGGCCGCTCCCGCGCGTCGCGCCCGCTGTCTCGGACGGTTGCTGGACGTCACGACCTTGTCGGTTCGGTTCGCTCGGCTTCGGTGGTCGAGGGCGTTCCCGCGCTCTCGTTGCCGTGGACTCGTTGGCCGCTCGCGAGCGTCGCGCCCGGTGTCTCGGACGGCAGGTGGATGTCAGTACCTCGTCGGTCTGGTGCGCTCGGTTTGGACTGCGTGCGATCGAGGGAAAGCCATGACGGCGCGCGCGTCGTTGCAGGTGCTCGACGAGGACATCGACCGTCGGTGGGGGTCCGACAGACACCAACCCCCCCCCTGTGCAAGACGGGGGCCGGGGACTCGGGCACCCCGGCAGCATCCGTCTGAGGGACGGAGGCTGACTGCCCGGGCTGCACCTCGCAGCCAAAAGTCGGGAGAGCCGTCTGTGGGGGCTAAGGCGGCAACAGTTGGCTCGCAACCAGAGCGTCGCTCATCCCAGTGAGACACAGCTGCGTACCAAACAGGGAGAACTCTCTCCACTCCAAAAGCCGTCGCGCAAAGCAGATCGACCTCACCCGGTGGAATTTTCTCCAGCAACTTATATATATATATATATATGGATATATACGTTAGAGTTCTACGTCAAAGTCGTGTCTGCACAAGTTCCTGGTGTCAGTCACAGCAGACACTTGCGCCCAAAGCAAACGCAGCACCGCCGGCGTGCCAAAACCAAAGCCAGCGCAGAGAAACGCGCAAACCGACGAAAACGGATGCGTGCCGGGGATGGAGGTGACACGTTTCTTCCTCGTCCGCTCCTTAGTTTTCGTTCCCGTGAAAACCGCTATCACTGTTTTGCCACTTTTTCCATATACTGCCATAATTATGTAATAACGAACACAACTATTGCTGCGTTGCAAGTAATGACTTGAGTGTAAAGTGAATATGTATGTATATAATGCACGCCAATCAAACATACACATGGTGAGAGACGGTGTGGGAGCAACGCATCTCTTGTTCCACTATACGCAGCTGGCTCAAAACAAACCCCCAGATAGGAGGAACACACTTACTAACTTCACAACCACTGTCGGAGAAAACAATATTTTTTTCACGTCGATATTTCGTATGACCAGAACAGAGCCCAGCTTCGCCAGCGGCAAGAGCGTCGCGCACGCCAGCTGCCCGCACTCCCTGTGATGACTCACAGGTATCTTTATACCATGAGAATTTTGTTCGAACCTGTTCCGTATCCTCTGAAGAAACCCAGAGCTCAGCTTCGCCTGTGGCAAGAGCGTAGAGCGTCGCTGACGCCAGCTACCCACACTCCCTCTGTGATGACTCACAGGTATTTTTATACAAGGAGAATTTTCTTCGAGCCGGTTTCGTATCCCCAGAAGAAAGCCAGAGGTCAGCTTCGCCTCTGGCCAGAGCGTCGCTCATGCCAGCTACCCACACCCCCGGTGATGACTCGCAGGCAGCCTATTTCGTATCGCCAGAACAAGACGAAAGCTCGATCCTATTTCGGGCAACCTCACTTCGACAGCAACAGCCGAACGACTCCGAGCGGAAAGAAAAGAGGAGCGAATGTGCTTTTCCTTGCGCTTTTTCATGTACATGTGGAATGCAGCTGTCTTGTGCTGTGCGCTTTCGTGTCTTTCTTGCACGCGCGAGACACTGTACACCAAGACGCAGTAAACCAGAAACAGACAAACAGTGACAAACAAAGCGTGCCAGAACAGCGGTTTGTGCGGGGCCTGGGACATGGGGCATCCCTGCTGTCTTGTGAACATCCGCTCGGTAGTGCGGGGATGGATGTGACGTGTCTGTTCCTCGTCCACTCGCGGTCGTGAGTCTTTGCGGCTTCGGGTCGCGCGCGCGTGCGGGTGCGCGTGCGGGGAGCAGAAGTGGAGAACCTGAGTTCGTGCACACGGCTCGAGCCAGCGCACGCGTATACACGAGACACATGGCACCGCAGTCTCAGCAGTGGTCACGGGAGAAGACAGACATCAAACAGAGGTCGGAGTAGGTACATGGTGCTACAACCCAGTCGTAAGAAGCAGCTGCGCAAGAATCTGCAGACGGTTTCTTTCGAGTGATTTTCCGTGTTGCGTCGCTCCAAAGTGGGTGGCGCCAGCGCCTGATGCCGATGCATACACATTGGACTCGAACTCTACCCAGTCGATGGTTCCTGTGCACTTGGCTGCTAGCAAGCAGCTGCGCCATCTTATGTAGTTCTGCAAGACACCTGGACCCATTCTTTTGCATCAACCTCTGCGGTTGTGTCTTCAGCTTGCAAGCACGACGTGCACTCCGAGCTACTTCGTGCAAGCAAGGCTGGATCCAGAAGAGTCGCTCCGCAGGCGGTCGGCGCTGCAAAGGACATCGCCGACAGAAGGCCCGGAGAAGGTTGCGCGCAGCGCTGCAAATATGTGGCTGGATTTGGTTGTTGGTCTGCGGATGTCGCGGCTCCTCGTGGACCTCAGTGGGCTATCAAGCGGCACGCTTAGGCAACGCCCGAGGGGAGTCGGCGCGAGGGCGACGCAGGCGAAAGCCGCGCACTGCGAAGAGCAAGGTGGTGCGGCAGAGCGAAATAGGGGCCTACTTCCTGCTCGTGCCGGGCCAGGGCGGGTGTCTGTTCTACACCGTGAGCACGGAGGTCAGTGGCGGGCAGAAGTGGACACTTAGCTGTGCCCTTGGTTGTCGCCGTGCCGAGCAACTGGACGTCGTGTGTTGTGTTGATCTCTGCGGGTATGGCTTCCGCGTGCAAACCCGACGAGACGTGCGAAAAGGGTGTCCTCAAGCCCAGACGGCGCCGAGATGGTACCTACCTCGAAAGGTCCGAAATCGAGAGCAGCATGCCGTGAACGGCAATCCTGAAGCCGCCGAGACGCTGCAAGCGCGAATTCGGTCGAATGTTGTACACATGCCGGGAGACGGTTGGTGCTTCTTCTACGCCGTGAGCCGGTACTTCAAAGGCAGCACACACTCGGGCCATGGCACACCCGCCGAAATCTATTTGCAAGCCATTGAGTGGTTGTTGGCGGCCCAGCACGGGCCACGCGCAGACGCAGTCGCAACGGCGTGTGTCCCGTTCGACGACGACGAATTGCAGCTGCATGAGCACTTCCTTCGACAACAGCCGACGGCCGTCAAGACTGCGCCCTCGAACACGACTGAAGTAGTCTTACTCAGTAAACTCCATGCAGTGTTGCTCCAGCCGGACATGTTAGATTCGATCCACCACGCTTCTGCCGGTGTGGAGTTGTGGGCTTTGACCCAGCAGTTCGATTTTGAATGTCTCATTTGGGGTGCCCAAGCGAATGTGAATTACTGGGTCCGGTCCATGGAGTGCCTCACCGACCAGGAAGCACATGCAAAGTTGCGACACCATAGCCCCGTGTTGGAGCTCGTACATCGAGACATGGGTGTCACCGGCCACTACGACTTGGTGGAACGTAGCCAGAACATCGGCGACCCCTTCCCAAGCACGCCTTTAGTTGAAGCTTTTCGTGCACAGGGTGCCAGAGCCGTCTTAGAAGCAGTCCAACAGTTGCTGGGGGCGGCGCAACCTCCGTTGCCGGCGCCACAGGCACCCCCCCCCGAGGACCGAAGCACACCACAACCACCAACACGGAGCTCAGCTTCGCCAGTGGCGAGAGCGTCGCTCATGTCACCGACTGATCCTCCGTGTAATGACTCACAAATCTCTAGAGATCCGCAGCCCGCATGTCTCGCGCCGGAGGACAACTTCTGCTGGGACGAGATCCATGAAGAAGTTGGGGCCGCCCTAGACTCCGAGGCCGAAGCCGTCGACGTAGACGTCGAGAGCGTGGAATCTTGGGATTCGGAGGGATCCATGTCTTCGAACGACCTTGATCAGGGATTGACAGTGGAACCTCATCGCCACTGGTGCACGAAAGAAGATTCAGATTTGGAACGCACTCAAAACCTAGCCGCAGCCCTGAAGGACCACCCCCTGCTGCCTCCGAAATTGCCAGGATTCGATGCGCACGAAGCCGATCATACTTCGGGGATCTTATTTCCCAATGTGCACTGCGCCATCCAAGGCTGTCGCTGGTGCTCGAGAGAAGACCCTTGCCAACCCAATTGGACACACGCACGGGTGATGCAAGTGCAAAAACAGCGCTGGACCGAGCGTCCACAGACCTGCTGTGGCGATGCCACGAGTTGTTTGCGCGCGCGTCTCAGCACCGCACACAAAGACCTGTTTGCGGGGGTGCGCCCTAGCGAGCTG